CTCCCAAGTAGCAAGTGATAGGACGAGAGGAAATGGCCTCATGTTGCATGAGGGGAGGTTTAGATTGGCTATTAGGAGAAATTTCTTCATGGAAAGTGTAGTCAAGCATTGGAACGGGCTGCCCAGAGAGGTGGTGGAGTCACCGTCCCTGGAGGTGTTCAAAAAACGGTTAGACATGGCACTTTGGGACATGGTTTAGTGGGCATGGTGGTGTTGCGTTGACGGTTGGATCGATGATCTTAGAGATCTTTTCCAACCTTAATGATTCCTAGTTTTTACTTTCATTAAAAAAATAATCCAGCCACCAAGCCAGGAAACATGAAATACTCTCCCCTTAATTGGTTTAGTGGTGGACTTGGTAGTGTTAGGTTAATGGTTGGACTGGATGATCTTAAGGTCCTTTTCCAACCTAAACGATTCTGTGATTCTATAATACTTATAATTTAGTTAATTACTTTGGTGTTATCTAAATTCAAGGAGATGAAACATTTAATTCAAAGCAGTTCTTGTTAGTGACCTCATTTTAAACAGTATTTTAGTGAAAGGGGCTCAAATGTATTCCTGAGCTTAGATGTCAGAAAAAAATTCCATTGTTTTTTCTTAGTTAAGAGTAGATTGGGGAGATCTATTTGTCAGAATTGAGATTTTTTTTTTTTCCCATATGTGAAATTGTTGACTAAAATTCCATAAAACAAAACTGAATTTTAAAAAGTTTCATAGCCTTCCACCTGTGTTAAACTTCACTGAACTTGAGTAAAGTTTAATGAAATTGTTTTTGTGTAACTCAGCTTGCAAAATCCAGTCACCAAAAGATAGTAAATACAGGACTGAAGGCTGCATACGCAGTCTGAAATTGGAGCTCTCCATACATTCATTGCAATGCTGTTTTCAATTGTGCAAGGAGAGAAAACTTTTTCGTCTGGGCTTCTAACAAAAGGACTGTTCATCTGAGGAATGTCTAGTCAGTGGTCACTGCAGCTAAATCTGTATTAATGAATACAGATTAATGGTCCAGGTCTGTTTGCTGGGGTGACATGGCTTACATCCACAGAGCCAGACTCTCTTACCTCCCAGTGCTAGATGCCTGCCTCTGGATGCCGTATTTGAAGTGGTTTCTCGTCCTTGATAGCCATTTGCATACAAACAATTTAACACCAGGGCCAGATTTGGTTGGTAGCATAAATGTGTGCTGTGTGGCCAATACGTCTCTGTAAAAGCACAGTCCCCTCTCATACCTCCAAAACCACTGATATGTTACAGCAGAAATACAATTCTTAATGTCTTTATAATCTCGTATGTGCTTCTCATGATGATATCTGAGTGCTGGATGTCAATCTGTATTTGAAGGAAATTAGGATTAAAAAATGCATTCATTTTCTTCACACTGGATTTAGGTAACTGTGTACCTGGTGTCCTTAAAATTGAAGGTGATTTTTTGATGTTTTAAGGCCCAGGGCTCATTGGTGTCGGGGGGTACGAGCTCGATGAACGCTTAGCACCTTGGCAACATAGGCTGGAGGAATCACAGTTGAATGAGTTGTGGAAAGTTTTGCTTTCTTCATCTAAGAAATCTCTGTTGTTGCTATTTAAAAAATTAAAACATAAAAAAAATTGACAGAAGTTGATGGGCTATTCATTCTGGTGACTTTGTTCAGTTTTAGCTATTCACAGAAATTTTTGTCAGAGCTTTTAATTTACGGAACTTAAGTATTTTTGGCAGCTACTAGCCTGTTTTGTTAGAAATTAAGAGTACTTAAAAATGAGCCTTAAGCAGACATCAGGAATAAGGAATTTTATCTCTAAGACAAACTTACAAGCAACTAAAAACTTGCAGACAGAATAGGGCTATAGATTAAGAAGTATTGGGTAACTGAAAAAAAAATAAACAGTGCTGACCTCTTTTTAGATTGTCTTTTGCACAAATTGTATTTCATGCCTTGTCAATGTATCATTTGTTTTTTTAGTGACTCCGGTGTTTGCCAGCGTTCCCAGTGACATGACAGTGGAGGTTGGCACAAACGTGCAGATCCCATGCAGCGCTCAAGGAGAGCCGGAGCCAGTAATTACATGGAATAAGGTACTAGATATTTGTTTAGTTGTTGCAGAAAGGCAGTGGCCTTTCCATCTCTTCGTAACTAGCTATTTAAAGTGCACATTGTCAAATTTTTGCTTGCTCTGGTGTCTGAAAACGTTACCTGAAGTTCAGTCAGCAAATCTTCTTTAATACAGAGCATGTATATAGATATCAAACCTGAATTTTATATATATAAAAATATATATATGGTTATGCAAATCATTATATAGACCAGCTAAAATTCATAATGTAGGCCTTAAAAAGCCTGTGTATTTTAGGGAGGGTTCTGTGTGAATATACTATTAATATTCACACTTTCAATGATACTATAGATATAAAGCAATAAAAAAGACTGTATTGCTGAACCTTTGACAGTGTTAGGCTGACACTTCAACCAGGACATGTTTCAGTAACACTTTGGTAAGCTCTCTGTGGCTTTGATTTCCATTGGTGCAATAATTGTTATCTCAAACTAATAGTTAGAGTTATTAGCAGAGTTACCAGTGAATTAATGGGTTGCTAATACTGATCTTCAGTTTTCCTGATTATCATCTTCTCTTCAATTAGTGAGCATTACAAAATGTACTTTGATGTACCTTAAATAGCTTCTAAACGTGTAGCACATGAAGAATTGATACATATAAAGCTCTTGAGATCTTAGTTGGTTAATTTTGAGTAAAATGAAATATATGTGTTTTCAAGAGATACTGTCTTATTTTTGGGTCTTAAATTTTATGTGGTGAGGACCTGTAAGCACTAAAATACGTTGATTTATAATAATGAGTACTTTTAAAAGTAAATAAATGCACTGTACAATTTAGAAGTACATGCAAGTCCTTCTGTCAACATAACTTTGTGAGTTTTTTATATAAGTTTATCTAAATCTATTTGGCTATTATCTTGGCATGCAAAATAGAAATATAAAATGAAAAAATAAAAGAGAAAAAGAAGGGAAAAATTCAGGTTTGAAAACAAAGAGTGTTTAGATTAACTAAACACTGTGCTTTGCTGCAGGATGGAGTACAGGTAACTGAGAGTGGAAAATTTCATGTTAGTCCAGAGGGATTTCTTACCATTCGCGATGTTGGAACAGCTGATGAAGGTCGATATGAATGTGTTGCCCGGAATACCATAGGATACTCCTCTGTTAGTATGGTGCTTAGTGTTAACGGTAAGGTGTATGAATCAGAGGTATGAGTTAGATTATTCGTTTTATTCTAACTGCCTAATTTGTAAGATGTAAAAAAGTTAATCGGATGTTAAATTCTTCCTTTTATTCATATTTTTGTTTTTCTCCCATAATCGTCTCTTTTTTGGTGTTTTTTTTTTTTTTCTTCATTTAGTTCAGGCAACTGTCTGCACAGATGTGAGTAAGATGGGAATATGTCAGCCAAAATATCTCCATGAGTTAAGATTCAAAACAAACAATGCTTTGGGCTCCAGTTAGTTAATACTACTTTCCTCTTGAGATATTATTTGGACCTATTAGAATTTGCTAGTTGAACACACAGTCTAATCTTTAGGGATAACTTGACAAAAAGTCCTGTGGCATCTTTAAAGGGGCACTTTACAGCACTTGGTTGAAAATTAGGCTCAACCATTGTGAAAGAATTCAGGAAAGTCATAATGATCTGAAGAAGCTAAAGGAGAAAACAGAAAGAAAAGGAGACTATTTGAGCTTATTCTAATTATTTGAAAGTAATAATAGTTATCAATTATTAATACGTAATAATTGGTAATAAAGCAGCCAAAGACGCTAAGGAAATAACTTTGTTACACCCTAATGCTTTTGTGATTTATTCGGTAAAACTGCTGATTTTTCAGATTCATTTTGATGGAAAATATTAAGGAAACTGTGTGATTTTTTTTTTTTTTGTCTTTCAGTAGAAAATATGACACAATGTATCACTGAAAAATGAGTATTGAGCAGTGATTCCTTTAACATATTGGATATTGTTTCCCAGTGTTATGTCTCATGTTCTGTATTTTGTTTACTAAATTCTTAAATACATATCAGTGCGTTTTCTAATGTATTGATTACCATGATATCAATCATATGGTATCAATAAAACTATGATGTTCCCTGGCTTAAGTTGCTTTTAGTAGAGTATCAATCTACCCTCTGCTCTATCAAAAATAGTACTTCTTCAATCTGTAAAGATTATTTCTGAGAGAAGAATTGCAGGACTGGGAATCATTCAGTGATAAGGTTTCATCTACATATATGAAGTCTGTGAATGAAAGTCCATAAAAATTGGTTAATCTTGGTTACTCTGGAGATGCACAGAAAAAAAAGTTCTTTGGTTTAAAAAAAAAAAAAAAAGATTAGACAGATCTCAAATCAATAAGGTCTCTGAAAAATAAAACCATAAATTGAACTGTAACCCCAATGGAAACCAGTTTCATTCACTTAGTGCAGGTGTCAGCTGCTCATTCTCATCTGCCGAACTTGGCAAACTGCAAAACTTGGTGCTAGCTGATCTGCAGTGTTTAATTGTAATGTGGTTATTTTTTGTATAAACTGTAGCATCAATAAACATAAAATTAGTGAAACTACCCTTGATTAATCTGCATTCAGTCTGAAACTGTAAATGATGTTTCTCCTTATTACTAGTGGGATATCAGATGCTGTTTCTCTATGGTTGCTATAAAAAGAAAGCTGTCAGAGAAGCAAGGAGGACAAGTGGACAGATTATAAGTACAGGATACTTGCTATCTGGATAGTATTAATAATGGCATAGCCAGAAATGCCTAAAAACTTGCATGTCAACATTTCTTTTAAACAAAGCTAATGTTTTATGAATGTTCTCAATGCATAAAAATATTTTCTTAACATTGAGACAAAATAAAGGCAAGTGTATAGAATCTGGGGGGCAGGTTTTGCTGGCCGTGTTTGATAATATTTTAAAGATACTTTTCTTTTGCCCTTTTCTTCTGTCCTTTTCTGTTGTTTTGTAAAAGTCTCTGGATTAAGTGTAAAGCAGGATGTTGTGGATTAAGTTTTTGTTGCTTAAAAAAATTACCATTTCTCTCCCCCCCCCGCCCCCCCCCCCCAGTATGAAAGGCAAGCCTTATGAAGGGCTTGCAGGGAGCTTTAACTTTTAATATTTGTCAGTATAAAAAGAGAACCACCGGCAGCAAATAGTCTAAACAAAAATAAAGTACAGTATAGTTAACATCTGACCAAGGTTTATGATTCAGCCCACGTGTACCATTAATTAGAAAGATAGCTCTGCAAAGCACACATGTAAAGTGAACACCAAGATTACGTCTGTCATAGCACTAGGGAAGGTAAACCAGCCACCAGATCTTTAAAATCTGCAGTGTTGCAGTGTCAAGATGATTCATGGCACACAAGGACCCTCTGAAGCAACTAAAATGAGGGCAGCAAACCTATAAATTATATTTCTCCTTAAAATAAGTAGCTTATCTGATAGTGTTTCTGTATGGTTGCTATGAAAATGAAGCTGTCAAGCAAGGACAGTTGGTAATTAGGACAGATCAGGGACTATTGCCGTTAGGCACTGTGGAAGGGGTCAGCTCATTTTGGATGCTGGGAGTACGTTGTCAGCAGCCCAAGGGAGCTGGCCTCAGAGCACAGAAAGGGCCTTCAGCTACAGCTGTGAAGTGCCAGGGACTGTTTTATTTGACAGTATAGATGGTTAAGTTTGATTACCCAGGTCTAGACTCTGAAACTCATATAGACACAGCCTAAGCTGCCAGTTATGAAGGAATAATGAAATATTACCTAGAAAAGAAAGAAAAAGTCATCATAAGCTTGCAAACAACGGTTTTTGTGTCAGCTGATTTTGTACATCTGCTGATTTTATTCCAGTGTATTTGCTTTGGACTTTTTCCCCACTTTACCCTTCTTCCTGTGTGACTTCTCCAATCTAAACACACTCTGGAAATCATTAGCTGTTGCCCCTAGATCTGGTAGTTCTTGGTTTAGACTGAAAAGAAGGTTATTAGCCCTAGATACGTTGTAGAAACATCCAGCTGCAACTGAGTACTGTATAAGAAAGTAGATGAATGGGCCTATGCATTAGTGAGTTTCCAGTATTATGCAGAGTCGTTAAATAGCTTTTTAAGCATGTGATTTTTAATGTAGTATTAGAAAGCTAGATAATTTTAAAGTAGAAAACAAAGTAGTGATCAAAATAAATAGAATATTTATAGCCATTTAAAATTAATGTGTGTTGCTTACTAGACTAAGCTCAGGAGAGGAGCAGTGTTCATTTACTGTAGCTATTTGGAAATATATAAAATTCTGTGGTTTTTTTTTTTAATTTCTTGTGTGTGTTCTTTTCTTTTTTTCTAAAATCTCTTTGAATTTATGTGATTCGTGTGTTCTAAAAGGCAAACTAAGTCTGTCAGTATTTTCCACTTGTAACGCATTTCTGTAAACCCTTTAAATTCTTACATTGAATTCAGTACTAATTCAGTACTGATTGAAATCAAAGGGAATACTTGCAATGATTTCAGTGGATATAGGTCAGGCTTTTGATATCAACACCTGACAGCTGATAATACACCACAGCAGAGAAAAACCCTTAATAATAATTTTTTCTTTGGTCATTTTTACTTGAAATTGTAGGACTAATTAATGGACAGTTAAACACTATATGCGTTTATCTTCACTTGATTTTGTTTTAGAATTATAAGCAAGCTGACTTTTAAACTTACATTAACTTCTGGTTTAAATTAATTTTGCTCTACTGTAATATGCTTTGATAGAATTCCAGAATGGTTAAGAATTTTATATTTGGACGAACTAGTGCTTAAAGAACAGGGGTTTACTTTGTACAACTGAAATGATGTCGTGTCTAGACTCTGTTTTATAGAAGTATCTTTTTGTGTGTGGCCATTTCTGCAATAACATGTGAATTCCTCTTTCTGTAGTCCCTAATGTCAGCCGAAATGGAGATCCTTTTGTACAAACATCAATTGTGGAAGCAATTGCGACTGTTGACAGAGCAATAAATTCAACACGTACACATCTGTTTGACAGGTATCCTGTTCTCTTTTTTATATTGAGAATTCAAAATTAATTTTGTATATACTAGAAATAATGGAACATTTATTAAGCAAGACGCCATTTTATTATTTAAATGACATTATTATCATCTGGTTAGGTCTGGGAATACTAACAGTTTAACATGTACAGATTCCTAATGTTTAAACACTCCTGTTGAGATCTCTGTTCTGCTGGGATAATGTGTATTAAAAGGCTACTAAATGTTTAATTGCTACTAAATGTTTAATGTTTTATTATTTTATTCAATATATATATTTTTTTTTCCTTTGGCTTCCATTTTGAGATGAGTAATCAAGGTATGTACTAGTCACATTGCTGAACATTTACATGATTTATGTAGTGTTGTTATTTCGTAACTCCTGTGTACACTTAATATTTTTTTCAAATTCTCTGTCAGTCGTCCTCGTTCTCCAAATGATTTGCTAGCCTTATTTCGATACCCAAGGGATCCATACACTGTTGAGCAAGCAAGAGCTGGGGAAATATTTGAAAGGACATTACAGCTTATTCAAGATCATGTACAGGATGGTCTAATGGTTGACTTGAATGGAACAAGTGAGTACTCTTTCCTTATTTTTCTGTGTTAAAGTGTATTTGCCTTCTTAAGTCATTATACTTCAAGAGGCATTTATTTTCTGAGACTGGGTCCCAATTGCAGAACCATTACATTGAAATCAGTGGAGTATCTGACTTTGCAAAATTTTACCAAATGTATGTGTTTGCCCAGTTCAGTCCTTGGTTTGCACATTGCTACATTATGGTGTAACTCAGTTTGTTTGAGCTCTCCAAGTAGAGTGCTTTTATTTTTCCTCACATTGACATTAGGGAAAAATTCATGTTCAGATTCTTCTAGTGGCCAAATTTGGTGTAATGGAAGTGCATAATACATCCTGTTTGTTAATCCCCTGTGTGTTAATTCTTTAGGACCATTGTTTCATAGCAGAACAGACTTTTCTGTTATATATTAAAAATAATCAGCATTTTGTTCATGTTTCTTTAAGTAAAACCATTTACTGTCAGCATGCCTTGGCAAGGAGAGAAGATGATATAACAAGAAGGATTTGTATCTTTACAAACCAAGGTTTCTGCATGTACCACAATAGTATTCAAAGAATTATTTGCCACTCATTCTGTAAGTGCCTATCAAACTAAGCTAGTTGTTTCCTTTAACACTGAATCTGATGTAATGAGAAATGCAGTTTTTGCAGCTTTTTATAAATAGCAGAAAAAATGCGAGGTTTAATATTTCTACCTTTTAGTTATTGAAATCCAAGTTCAAATTCATGAAGTCCAGCTGGAGCATATGCAGCTAATGTGTGCAGATGTGTGTGTGGATAGGCTTGAGACATAGGACTGAAGCATTTGGAAATAATGAGAGTTTTAGGAGAGCTTTTGAGACTTGAGACGTAGCCAAAAGCTACACTGAAAATCTAGAGGAGATATTTTTACTTATTATATTCTTTTTGATGTTTATAATTGAGTATTTATTGTAACTTCCGAAAAATTTAACTCTGACCATGAACTAGGCAAGTATTTGTAAGACCAAAGACTGCAAGCTTTGTGGAGTACTGTAACATTTGCTAATAAAAGAAGCTTGTTACTCATTACTAGAGCTGAGTAAATAATTTGTGATGAAGTTTACCACAAAAACTTATTCAAAATTCTTTGAAGGCTTGTGTTTTATAAGAGCAACCCAATTTTATTTTGTTCTCTGATTAGATGCATATGCAAGCATATTGAATATAATACTAGGAATATATGAAATCTGATATGTGAGAATTGCTTGACTACTTTTCACTAGGATTTGTAATAGTGAAATTCAACCACTTGAAGTTTACCAAAAATTGGCATTAAAGCATACAAATACAAATTAATGAACACAAAATCAGGCAACTTTCTGTGATACTGGAAGTTCTGTTCACAACCAGAGCTTGGTTCTCAGCCCTACAAAATCCATAGAAACCTGGCTTTTAGAGAATCTTGACGAGTACAAGAAATGTGTTTTTGTTTAAATAACTTAATGCTCAGATTTTAATATTCATATTTGTCCTTATTTGGTTTTATTTCAAAATGCAGACCCTAATGGAAGGTGTTATTTAGCACTTTTGCATTGGGAACAGTTGAGAAACTTGACAATTTCCCATTCAGAGACTTTTTTTTTCTTGGAATATCCCAAGGAAATACTATGGAGCCAAATTCTCTTCTGCAGTGCCAGACTGTACAACAAGGGGAATGGCCACAAATTGCTGCTTGGAAGTTTCAGATTGGATGTTAGGAAACACTTTCTCACCAGGAGGCCAGTGCAGCACTGGAACAACTTATCTAGAAAGGCTGAGGAGGCTCAGTCTTCAGAGGTTTTCAAGCCTCCTAGACAGGGATACAGCTGAGCTGATCTAGTGCTGGTGTCAGCCTTGCTTCAAGCAGGAGCTCGGTCTGGGTAAGAGGTCCCTTCTAATCAGTATTTCTATGACTCTATGAAACATCTTCCTTTGAGTTTGAAAAAAATATAGCTAATATTATGCGAACTGAGCTAGCTGGCTTCTAAGCCCTGGAAATGCTCAGCACCCAGCCTTTTGGAAAGCAGAGCCAGACTTAGTGCCTACAAATGTGAGTGTTAATTAAGGGCCCGAGATGGGCATTTATGGCAGCCTCCACTCCGCTCAGGAAGACATCTAATCTAACCCATAGGTGAGACATTGCCTCCAACTTGAACTTCTGAACAGAGAAGCTGAACCTTTTATTTTAAATTGGTAATGAAGGTCATTCCACCCAAAACATTCATAGTTGAGTTTTGCTCACAACTTGATTTCAGAAATGTGGGTGGCAAGCAGGATAAGAACAGCAGACAAATGTTTATGTAAAGACTGCATGAATAACGATCATAAGGAAAGAACTCCATGATGAATGAAGATCATTTAAAAAGGAGTGTTACTATAAAGAAGACACATTTTCTGGGTGTAGTTTTAGAATTAAACTGCCCTAGTAGCCAGCATATTGTAATATGTTATCAATAAATATCTTCAAAGAGTGTATTTTGCTGCATTACCCAGTGGCACTTACTGGTTTTGTTCTGTGGCTTATTTTTCTTTTTCTGAGTCTGGAGTATTCCACAAAATAATTTATCTATGTCTACAAGAACAGGTTAGTTTTGCCTAATGCAAGCACTGGGTCTCTCATATCTGCTTTGATTTGTAAACCACTTGGAGTACATGTAGCCTGAGGCTGAGAAAACATAGATCTCCTGACTGAGCACAGGTCCTGTCCCAGCTGAGCAGCTATGAGCAATCCAGTCCCTTTCAAGGCAAAGACAAAGAGTGGCTTTGGGTGGTTTGTTTGAAATTGCCCTGCATTGTAGAAATTGGCAGAGAGCAGCAGTGTGTCTAGTACGCATTTATGTGTTGAATATAGATGAAGGTCAGTGTCTTTGCAGGCACGCTGGGACTGAGCTCAGGACTAAAAGGAATATTTCGTAACTGTGTGCAATTAGCCTGCACCAGCCTCTTGCAAAACTGCATTCAGTTCATATTCTTGAGTGATTACCATCATGGTGGGAACCCTGTGAGCCTGTGGGAACACAGTACTGCTGTACACTCACTCATTTCCTTTTTTCCTTCTGCCTTTATTCTGCTTGTTCAGTTTTACTCCTGACTGCAAGCTTTCCAGATCAAGAACCATGGTGGTGTATGATGGTTCCTAGTTAGCTAAAAGTACATCTACGCTGCCAAGTATTCTACCTCCTAGGCTCTCTCCTGGATCCTGGAACCTTACTCATCCATGCTGTGTACACATTAATCACTCAAGGTGTGCCTATGCTTTGGATCAGCAGGGCCCATTTGAAGTCAATCTCCCAGTTGTCCCCACTTACTGTGCTTTGGTGTGAGTTGTGGTATGGCCTTGAGCAGTGTGGATTCTTTTCAAAGTAAGTGAAAAATGTGGTCCAGGGCCATGTTCAGTCCAGGAGAACAAAGTAAAGCTTTTCTGAAGGAAACCTGTTCCTGTGGCACAATGGATACAGTAGGGATGTCTTTCTCAGCATCAAAAATTTCACTCTACAGACACATTTCTGTTGGTCTACACAAGTTGATAATGTAGATATAGCCCAAATTAATGACTTCTTTCCTGAAATGAAGCCCAAATGTTTCTAAGAAAAAATCACTTTTAGAATGACTCCTAATAGGCAGCATGGACAAGGCGCAGCCTGACTGTTCTGCTATTTGCAGTCACCCAACACTGTAGTAGGAGGCCTTATGGTCTTCAATCCTTCCACATTGCGTGATAAGGCTATCATGCAACACATAGACTTAGTTTGAAGTTACAAAAATGTAATTTTAATGAGTTACGGTATATATTTTGTATACAATATTTTTCTATGAACTGAGAAGAAATGCAGGAAAGCGATAAGTACGCTGTAGTCCCGGAGGTGGTGTGGATTGCAGAGGAAACCTGTGCCAAGTGTTTTGCAAACACCAGTTTTCTTTAGAAACTAGTCCTGGGTAATGTGAATGTGAGTTGCTCCACACCACTTGTCCTAGAGGTCACTCCTCTGTTTAGCTATAATGCCTGTGGCTATTTTCTTTTGTGGTTTTTGCTGAAATTTTTTTCTTAAGATTCTGCAACTTCCACTGTAATAAAGCAAAACAAAATAATAATGTTCAGTGAATTATCAAGTCTCAAAAGATAAAGTCTTGAAATCCATGTAAATGTTACTGACAGTTTTTAAAATGCTTTTACTAACATGGGGAAAATTTCCCATTTGTCTCAATATGAGGCTTTTATTTCTGAAAATATCTCTGCTTTCTTAAGTGACCAAATAAGTAATGAACTCCTTTTGTGAACACTTGGTACAAGTTGTACGTGAATTGGCATTTTCCTCCTGACCTAATAGTGGTTGTTGCTCACATCACCCAGTGCTCTAATATACATATGTGATTATTATTGTTCTTTCTAAACCATAGGGTTATTTAATCTGGTGGGAAATGCGATATAAAAAAATAACATTTCAAATAAATTCATGATCTGTGGGGACCACGAATCTATGAAGTCTTTGATTTTCTCTCTGTCTCTCTTCTGGTTTCAGGTTATCACTATAATGACCTTGTATCCCCACAGTACTTGAATCTGATAGCTAATCTCTCAGGTTGTACAGCCCATCGACGAGTGAACAACTGCTCAGATATGTGCTTCCACCAGAAGTACAGGACACACGATGGAACATGCAACAACCTTCAGCATCCCATGTGGGGTGCTTCTCTGACAGCCTTTGAACGTCTGTTAAAGTCCGTCTATGAAAATGGATTTAATTTGCCTCGGGGAATTGAACCCAGGAGGCTCTCTAATGGCTACGCGCTCCCAATGCCTCGCTTGGTTTCAACTACTCTGATCGGAACAGAAACAATAACTCCTGATGACCAGTACACTCACATGCTCATGCAGTGGGGTCAGTTTCTTGACCATGACCTTGACCTCACTGTGGCTGCCCTAAGTGAGGCCAGGTTTTCAGATGGTCAGCATTGCAGTTCAGTTTGTACAAATGATCCTCCATGCTTTTCGATCATGATACCACCAAACGATCCCAGAGTTCGAAATGGTGCACGCTGCATGTTTTTCGTACGCTCCAGTCCAGTTTGTGGAAGCGGCATGACATCCCTCCTGATGAATTCTGTGTACCCACGAGAACAGATCAACCAGCTGACTTCATACATCGATGCATCCAATGTGTATGGCAGTTCGGACCATGAAGCATTAGAAATCAGAGACTTGGCAAGCCAAAGGGGTCTTCTGAGACAGGGCATCGTACAGAGATCTGGCAAGCCCCTTCTTCCATTTGCTACTGGCCCGCCAACAGAATGTATGAAAGATGAAAATGAGAGCCCAATTCCCTGCTTTTTAGCTGGTGATCAGCGTTCTAACGAGCAGCTGGGTCTTACCAGCATCCATACATTGTGGTTTAGAGAACACAACAGAATTGCCACAGAGCTACTGAAACTCAATCCACACTGGGATGGTGACACAATATATCACGAAACACGCAAAATTGTTGGTGCAGAAATGCAACACATAACATTTAGCCACTGGCTACCTAAGATCTTTGGAGAGGTAGGCATGAAGATGCTTGGCGAATATAAGGGTTATGATCCCAGTGTTAATTCTGGCATAACTAATGAGTTTGCAACTGCCGCTTTTAGGTTTGGTCACACACTCATTAATCCTTTTCTGTATCGACTGGATGAAAACTTTGAACCTATTCCACAAGGCCATCTACCTCTTCATAAGGCATTCTTCTCTCCATTTCGGATTGTAAATGAAGGAGGCATTGATCCACTTCTAAGGGGATTGTTTGGTGTTGCTGGTAAGATGCGTGTCCCATCACAATTACTCAATACAGAATTAACAGAAAGACTCTTCTCCATGGCACGTACTGTGGCTTTAGATCTGGCAGCTATGAATATTCAGAGAGGCAGAGATCATGGAATACCTCCCTACCATGATTTTAGAGTTTACTGTAATCTTTCTTCAGCTCAGACTTTTGAAGATCTGAAAAATGAAATTAAGAATCCTGAAATCAGGGAGAAACTTAGCAGGTGAGCCTGAGGTGAAGAAAAACAATCCATTATCTAAATGTGCATGCAAAATTAGTAGCTAAATGTCTTATCTAGAAGAAAATATTTGTTAAGAAAGGGGTAAAGGGATTTTTTAAGAAGCTTCCATCTGTACCAGGAAATAGACGTGGAAAATTCCCACATGCAGATAATCTCTCTGCTTCTACACCTCTGTGAACAATTAGAAGTTAATATATACTGTATGTGTTCATTGAAGTATTAGTTTGAAATATCTGGTTTTATAAATCCTGTTAAATATGAATGTTATTTCAAAGTAAGGTCATCTTTAATGCCAGTCTCATGCAAGTATTTACATGTCCAGTTCCATCCATTCGGTACACTAAAACAAACAGGAATATCGTTCACTGTATTTTCATGTGGACATCCTTCCCTACCAGTAATCTGTTCTTTAGAGCATCAGTGTTTGAAAATAAGTCTTCAGCTACCTGCCACCCCTAGCTTATCTACACAAAATCTGACAGAGAATTAATCACAGCTGTGGTAAAAGAAAAAGTGTACAGAGGGGCAGGAAAGAGAAACTATTGAAAAAGAACTGGTTCTGAGAAATCAGAAGAAAGCTGCTAGGAGAAAGGAAATTATTATGGGGTAGACTTGCAGACCGCTCTGACGTTACTCAGATACACAACCTGCATTGCAGGATTTCTTGCATATACACCCACAAGTTGTTCACTAAGATGTAGCACTATCGCTGTCATTTTTACTGTGCATTGTTCATACATCTTGCCCTTAGTTTTGCCACACACTGCTTATTTTGTAAAGGTAAAATATTTGATATTAAATATTTGTGCTTTTCTATTTATAGGTTGTACGGTTCCCCACTGAACATAGACTTATTTCCTGCTCTAATGGTAGAAGACTTAGTGCCAGGGAGCCGACTGGGGCCAACTTTGATGTGTTTGTTAAGCACACAGTTTAGGCGTATTCGGGATGGAGACAGGTAAATGGAAATACCATGGAAACCAAAAGTAATTTTAAACTAAGGATGTTTAGTAACAGTTGCAATGTCTTGTTTCCAAATGAAACTGCATTTTTTTTTCATTTATGATTTTAATACATAATTGAAAAGATGAAGAGTACAAGTTTAAAACATTGTTAGAAACTATAATTAATTTATTTTTTAAATCTGTTACTTTTTATGGTGAATATGTCATACTGACCTCCAAAAAGCACCACAGCCAACACATGCTGAGTTTCCTTTTACTAGTTATTCAAGTCACTTGACTTTCTCAAAAGTGGATGTTACTCATCTCTTTTCATTGGTATTTAATTACTTTATTGGCAAAGGAGCTGTGGTGGTTAAGACACCTTCAGCATCTCTGTGACTTAGGCATAGGTTGGAAAAGTATCACTCTGTGTATATAACCCCTATACATATTTCAATACAAGCAGTCTGCGCACCAAAAGAGTGTTAAAAGCAGACAGGTTATCCCAAAGAACACAATTTGATAATTGTTTTTAGATTACTTTACATGCACATTATAAGCAATTTCTCATTTTCAGTTTCTACAGTACCTGAAATAAGAAAATAGTCATTGCTATTGTTACAGCAGCCAGATGTCCTTTCCATACTTTCAGCACACCCGTTCGGAATCTGAAAATCAACATTTCCCTCATTTTAACATAATTTGTGACCTAGAATCCTGTTTGTTGCGTGGCATGAGGGTAGAAAGACTTATGCTGATTAGTCCTATCCTGGTGAAAGGGAAACAGAGGAAGAATTAGGAAATTAGGTTTGATTCACTTTATCTAATGTTATTCGCTCTATGTAAGTTATAAAATTGCTACTTAAGATAGTATAAAGGCTTTTTTATTTCTGTAGTCAATAACACAAGCCTTTTTGTATGCTTGTTTTAAAAACAACTTTCTTACTTAAAATCTGTTTAAAAATTAAGCTGTGAAACATAAAACTCTCATGCCAGGAGCCAGAGGGATTAAAAGGAGAAATATATGCGGTATGAGCTCCAGATTGCGGGTGACAAGTACCTATTTGTGTCACAACAGGATAATGATACTGCTTTTTTGTGTGTGTCTATTTGCATTTTTCCAGCAAAAGCTTTTTTTGTTTTTTTGTTTTTTTTCTGAAACAGCATTTAGAAACTATAGGAAAACATTGAATATTTAGGAAATGGGATTCTGTTGTCCAAAGAATACAAATGTTTTGAAGCAACATGCCAGCAAATAGTAAAATATTATTAGACATAATGAAAGCAACTCTCACTTCTTTGAAAAGCCTTTACAATGGGCAGAGGATCAAAGCTGCCAGCACCATGCAAAACAAATATGCCTGTGCAGGGAAAAGGAGTGATGTTTGAAGGGAGCCTAACTTCATGTCAAGATGGAAATTTCAGAATCTGTTTTTCTGATCCCAGTACTTGGAAATTCATTGGCCACTGTCCAATGCCTTATGAAAATGATACAATAAGTATGTAAAATGAAATTTGTTGACCATTCTTCTAGTTTAGTATAAAATTGTTACTGATTTTTCATGAAGTTTAAAGAGCCTCCTACTTATTTTTGGTTGAAATAGGTGGAAAAAAGTATGAATGTAGAATTAGAAATTTACAGTTTAGTGAGATGTAAATGATATCACAGTGAGCAATTCTTATATGTTAGAATAGTGTAAAATGTTTTCAAATCCTGGGCAGTAACTTAAAACGTTTTCTTTTACAAGGGCTGGCTTGCTTTTCATAGTAATGTATTATTTATATTTTTTATTGATAACAGGCTTTTAGCCCTTTATGTATGAAAAATAAGTTATTCAAAACCACAGTGTTTCCTCCTTCAATATAAGAATTAACTGAGCATATATTAATAAGTCCCTGAATTAGTGTAATCATTAAAATAGTTTCACAGAAAAAAATTTCCTTAGATTAAACAGTCTCATTTATCTTGATAATAAACTAGGTATAGATTAACCATTCTTCTAATCTCAGCAATTCTATCAAAATTTTTTCATACCCATGGGAAAGATGCCTGGAGAAATAAATCAATGGTCATTTAAGCCTCTACCTTAAAAAAACCCTAAACTTGGTAGTCTAGTGCCATTTTAGATGTCCAGAGATACCCAAGAGATCGAAATGGGACTACAAAAGAAGTCAAAGGATTTGCTGAAGACTTGGGCCCTTTCAGGGTGTCAGTATGACACCAAGCACTTACAGTTTGGCATCTGGATCACTCCCTCAGATACCATGTAAATCTGAGAACAGGATTTATGGAATAATTAATTTCATTCTGAATACAGTATTGCAATATCTCTGTGGAACTGCATGTTTTGGTTTTTCACTAGCAAACTTGTCTTTTCTGTGAGATTACAGGTTATGGTATGAGAACCCGGGTGTGTTCACGCCTGCTCAGCTTACTCAGATCAAGCAGACATCTCTTGCCAGAGTTTTGTGTGACAATGGTGACAACATAACCAGGGTACAACATGATGTCTTTAAGGTGGCTGAATTCCCACATGGATATAGTAGCTGTGAAGAAATTCCTAAACTGGACCTCAGGATGTGGCAAGATTGCTGTGAAGGTCTGTATACAGGTGGATTTGGGTGTATTAATGTGTGCTGCATTTAGTGTCTGTTCATTTTATTTTAAGAAGATATTTGACTATTGTTAGTTTCTGTTAAGATGTCACAAACTCAAATCTGGAGCTCAACCTTTGTCAAGTGAATGATCATTCCATATGTTATATTAAATAGACACATTCTAACCATAGCACAGATTTGAGCGTTGCATGGTGTAGATAACTGTTTTCCTGTTTTCTTCCTTTTGTGGATAAATATTCTTGTTCATTGCCATCTCCTTCAAAAGTTAGGACAGTGGGGTGATTTGTTTTTCTTCAGAAATAAACTTTTTTCCTCCAGAAACAGGGTTTACTTAGCTGCATAAAGCACAGGACACTCAGAATCCCATGTGGCTTGGTAGCATGCATGTTGGCTTCTCTCTCACATACAGATTTTCTGCATGACCTCTCTTTAGACATCATCACCACAGACTTCACTACATCTGTAACATAATTAGAAGATCCTTTCCCAAGAGAATCTTCTGGATCACACAGATTTGCAGAATGATTTGTAGTAGCATCAACAACAAAATACTTCAGAGGACAATGACTTCTCTTTATTGAGATCTCCTTGACAATGTTATTACCATTTTCTTTTGACAAAACTCAAATGACCTGCCCTGGCTGAAAAACTCAGGACTTTTGGGAACTTCTCTGTGGAACTCTGATTCTCTAGAAATTGCTGTCAAACAATTATTAACTAAAAAGCTTGCTCTTATTAGAGAGGGTAATGGTACTACCACTTGACGATTATTAGAATCTTACAATTTAGCTAGTAAGAACCTAGCTTTCAATACCAGTATTTTGTAGATTTGCTGGTATCTGGATCTGAGTTCTTCATCTTTTCTACTGCTGATTCTCTTGAGTTTACTCCAGCTGAGTAGGCTATTCAATATTCTCTCAAAAGATACGCATGGATAAAGAAGCAGTGGATTGTATTTCTGAGAGAGGTCACACTCTTCCACTAGTGTCCATTTAACACTTTCAGTAAGATATAATTGTCCCCAATGACAGAGAGTCCTTTGGTGATATAGCTCAGAATTTAAGGCAGGAGGTGGAGCATAAACTGATGGAGGGTGTCCCTTCAACCTGGTACAGATACAGTAAATACTGAGGAAAGATTCTAACTAGTGTGACTTTACCATGAGAACAAATTCAGGTGTCATTAAAAATGAAAAAAGTAGATAGAGAGTTACTATTCAAAGATACTGCACAATTTAGCTTTTAAACTGACTACCATATTGTCTTGTCCAGTAAAGAACTCTTTAAATAATAAATCACTAAGAAAATTCTTCCTTGGAAGGCTTTGTTGAAAATGTCAGTTACCTTTCAATGAAATCTTGTACAATTTCCCCCAGATATCATTTCATTCAGGTCTTACTTGAATTTTTACCAGTTTTTGTCGTGGTTTAGCCCCAGCCAGCAACTAAGCACCA